CCCCAAAACCGCAAAACCCCAAAACCCCAAAACCCCAAAACCCCAAAACCCCAAATACTATATTAAGGATTGACAATAATTAAGAATTCTTAAAAAATGGTTCGACTGAGTGCTTCTTTAACCTCCAGAGCTCTTAGTTTAGTGTTTCTAGCTCTTGGATTCTTAGTATCTATATTTAGATGGTAAATAAGGGGCATTAAAGTAGATTTGGTTAGATAAAATTCTGTCTCATCCATAGATTATTGACACATACCTGGAGAATACACATTGAGAATCTTGGTCCTAAACTTGTTCTTTGTATCTACATCTATTGATTGATTCCTGTATCGCCTTTTCTTAGCCTTATTAGTGGAAGGAATCGTCAGAGAGGAATTAAAGAAGTTTTTATCTTGAACTAAATTGGGACTCTGGATAGTAAAACTCGCTGCTGTAGATCAGATGGAGGTCTTATGAACTCTTTCAGGGTTTATTTTAAGCTTCATATTTCCCACTGTAGGTTTGATATTTCTCTTGATCTATACTAAGTGTTAGGGTTGCTACACCATTTCAAAATTTAACTCTTCTAAAATTTCTCACCTGAGCCAGTAGCTTGTTACTTGGTTTGAGTGGTCTGATCCTTCCAATATCCGGGATAAGCCTATAAAAATCAATTAATTTTATGAACTTTTGTAGAATTTCCTTTGAAATTTTCCTAAATTTCTGTACAAAATCTTCATTTTCTAAACGAGGATCCAGAACTTGCTAGACTCATCTTGTAAATTCTGACTCTGAGCTGACCCGAATTCGTCCTAAAATGAGCGAGAACCTCGCCATAACCTGTCTTCAGACATGTTTGAAATTAATATTCTGGGTAGTATAACACTTGTGAATAACTTATTTTGGCCTAATTTTAGCCTAATTTTCAGTTTTTTATAATAAAGAATAAATATTAAGTAGAGTCTCTAATCTGATTGTTTACTCAGTCATTTTATAAGTAATATATTTACATTTCAGATGATGTTTCAGTCATATTTTTAGATATTTTAGTCGTAAAAACCTGAAGAGAATATGACTAAATAATGAAATGGAGATGTCTGTAAGACTTGTTTCAAAGATTCATGGAAATAGTGCACAAGCTTTCGGAGATTAGTGTATAGTTAGACCAAATACTTTTGACATGGTTTATTGAAGTGTCTAGAACAGGAATAATGACCAAATATTTGGCATTGTTTTTGAAAAATTGAGGCTTTGACTAATGAAATTAACCGTAATGTCCAGGTCAGAGAAGAACTTTGAGATAGTATTCATAAGTTTATTTGAGTTAAAATATAGTAAAATTTTATAGTGGCCAACGAAAAATAATAGTGGCTTTGGCTCTTTATAACTTCTGAGATGCTTTATTAATGTAACTAATTTTAGAAAAGTTTTATCTAACTTTTGTTACTGAAGGTCAAAATCCACAGCTACAGATATTTCATTGCCTTAAGAAGCAACAATTAACCACTTACAAATGAAATATTAAAATTTCAGGCCAATCCTCAAACTAATCCCTCAAAAAGTCTAAAAGAGGCTTTCTTCTTAATAAATGACGCTAATTGCCTGAGATGTATTGGAGCTCCAATAGATCAGCTTACTGTATTAATAATTTCTGAATAATTAAACATATGCAATTATTGGATAGTAAAAACTAGCCACCAATTATTGTTGCAAATCTCTATATCAAAACCCAGCCCCCATTTCATCGCAAACTTGCAGAGAGATCGTGCCCATTGTTATAAGGAAATTGTGACTTGGCAGAATTGATTGGTTGGAAAGAAATTGATCGAATGTTCGGGGATTAATCAATTGGCAATTTAAGCATTCTTGGGAATGTATAACGTATTTATTGGTACTAACCCTAAGCTTATCCCACCCAGTTCGATGTGTACACCAAGCTAAGAGCTAGATACCTTAGGAAAAGTGTGAGATTTGGGCTTACCTTTTGGAAGAACTCTCAGTTTTTGAATATTCGTCTTGACGATTGTTGGTAAAAAGTTTAGGAATCATCTTCTGAGTTCTATTCCGATTGCCAGTATAGATGGGACTCTTTGTGGTTTTAGAGTCTTGTAGAGGTGAATTTAGATATTCAGTCGGACTTACAGCGGTTTGGTTGAGGTCCCTCTTTCCGATCCTACCGAAATTGGGGATCTTAGACTTAAATTGCGACATTATTAATGAGTCAGAGTCACCAGTCTTGTGGACGAATGATCTCTTTTGCTTTCGATACTTCTTCTTTTTATCAAAGGTGTATATTTGTCAGATTTCCTTTGGAGGCTCTGTTGCGCGAAGAAGACCCTCATTCAAGGTCGAAAGATTGTGATGGAGGAACTCTACATCCTGCTGAAGGATCATTTTCCGGATATTTTTCCATCCATTTCCACTTGTCCTTGCTTGACTGGCTTGTCTCCTGTTTTCAGTCTCGAACGTCATATGCTTCTGAATGTTAACAGAGGCATTATAGGGTACCATGAAGTACTCAATCTTTGACTGCAGATTCATACTAGGAGTTGCTCAGTAATCAAAAGAGTTATCTTTAGTTCATTTCTGAGGAGTTACGTAATCACCTTGCTGAATATAAGTCCCTCCATCTCCGAACTTGAACGACCTATCTGAAATTATCGGACTAAGAGAGAGCTTATGGCTACAAGTCTTGATTGTCCTCTCACAGGCACTCTTGGTGCTTGTGAAAATATCCTGGTTTACTGTATCTACTGGCAGCTTTAGTGTATTAGTTTTAAATCCTAATTGTGAAGGCTCCATTTTATAGTTTTCTTTGGAAATTTATGAATGATAAATTAAAAATCTAGTGATTTCAATTATAAATGCCTTATTAGGGGTTTTGGGGTTTTGGGGTTTTGGGG